GGGGCCATGATTGGCTGGGTGGAAAAAGAAGTGGCCCCATCAGTCATCGAATCTCTTCGCAGATTTAAGGTGGGCAATTGTTTGGGGTTTTTCTGTAGTTTAATCATCCTTGATCAACCTCAGAGTTATTTATGTTGATAGTTTTAATATAATAATTATAATATAAATCTGAACATTTGTGTCACCTGCAGGTGCTGGGAGAGAGAAGAATTCCGCCCTGGACTGAGATCGTTCTGGTTCCTCAGACGGGTAAAGCCAGCTTGTACCCAGGCCTCTATCTGTCCACGACTCCCTGTCGCATGGTGCGGCCCGTCCGGAACCTCGGCCTGGGCAAACAGGAGCTTATTGGCACCTTCGAACAGGTGAGAAGAGAGAACCCATTTAATAGAAAATTTGTTCTAACTTAAGTACCACTGTTAATTAGTAGAAAAAATCGGTTGGCTTGACAGACTGCTGCAGAAGATTAAAAAAATCCCATATACTTCCATTGATCATTTCTGACTGTTTTATATTTTACTGGAGCTTTTAAACTCTGCTTCAGATTATTATGTCCTAGCAATGACCCCAAATACTTCAGAAATCACACTGAACATTTTAGCAACCTAGCTCTATAACTACTTCTAAAGCATTGTCAAGCATACATTCAAAATTTGCCTTGTCTTAGTTTACCATAGAGCCCAACAGACGGGATCTGCAAGTAAAAAGCCAATTCGTTTGGTCCATATGGGAACCTATAAATAGGTAAAGACAGACATACTGTGAGCTAGCAGGTTGTTAATCAGTGCTTTTGTTAAAGCCATCAGTCTGCATTATTTATTTATTTTTTAAATAATTTGACAGCAGAATTATTACCCGTGATTCTGCAAAGATATCCATCGATCAGAGAATCAAAATGAGCAAATCTTGCCAAAAGACTTTAGCACACACTCACTCCCATCATGCACTGCGAATGACATAATAGTCAGTCTCCAACGCTTTCCAACTACCTAAATGCACGTACAAATATAGTGTTTCTGTATACACCGTCAACATCTTTCAATCAAGATTGTTCTATTTGTAATTTTTAATTTGATTGTCATTCACAATGCTTCACGGGATTATAGTTTTTTCTGTCATGAAAGCCTTTTAAGTACACAGTTTTGCATTCTGTTTTCTGCATCCTTCGAATGTTTCTTTGTGTTCAGGTGTATCTGAACGTGGGCATCTTCGAGGAGGAGCTGGAGCAAGGAGTGACCACGCATCAAGAGCTGTTTCCTCACAGCATGTTGAGTGTGGTGGCAGAATTCATCCCGTTCTCTGATCACAATCAGAGCCCCAGAAACATGTACCAGTGCCAGATGAGTAAGAACCTCATGTCCTTTTTTGATGAATTATGTCTAAATAAATTCTATCAAAACATGTCAGCTAAGACATCATCCTATCATAGGTAAACAGACAATGGGCTTCCCGCTGCATTCATACCAGGAACGATCAGACAATAAACTGTACCGTCTGCAGACCCCTCAGAGTCCTCTGGTCAGACCTTCGATGTACGATCACTACGACATTGATAATTACCCTATTGGCACCAACGCGATAGTGGCTGTCATTTCTTACACTGGCTACGATATGGAAGACGCTATGGTAAGCATAACTTCCATGATCACGCTTGCTCCGAAGCATTCTTTTGCGTTTGTTAATATTTAGTGTTTTTTAATTTTTCGTCAGATCATCAATAAGTCTTCATGGGAGCGTGGCTTTGCTCATGGTTCGGTTTATAAGACTGAGCTCATAGACCTGTCCGATAAGGTCAAAGGTGATGACAGCATTGTGTTTGGGGTGAAGCCAGATGACCCCAAAGTAATGGACAGACTGGATGCAGACGGATTGCCGTTTATCGGCTCCACGCTGAATTATGGAGACCCTTACTACAGCTACATCAATCTCAATACCGGCCAGAGTTATGTGAACTTCTACAAGTAAGACATTATTTTTTATATTACTATATAATTAATGTGTTTAATTCGCTTTTATTTTTGTATTTTAAGTTTTCATTCAGTTTGTTATTTTATTATGCGCTTTTGTCTTTTTTTGTAAGTTTGTTTTAGTTTAATATTTATTTTTTCAGATTTAGTTAAATTAACAAAAAGCTAGTTTTAATTGTTTTAGTTAACAATAACACAGCTGTAATGTTATGGAAACACACAGTGCAAAATTTGCATATTTATTAAATGTATCAACATTTAATGTTACTAAAATTAGAGAACGCTGTTGTAGTACAATACCTTAGTCTTTAATTGCTCTTATTTTCATCTTTTATCTTATCTAATTATTTATACTTTTTATCAGTAAGCTTAATTATCTGTAATTTTGTTGTAATTCTGTTAATTACAAAAGTGTATTATATTTTTTCAATTTTATTTCAATTAACAAAAAATAACAAGTTTTAGTTAATAATAACAACACCGATGTGTGATAAGAAACATTTTAGTTGACAAAGTACAAAATGTTTCAGACATTTTATATTTATTTAAATGCATTAACATTTATAAATAATATGCTATTGTAGTACAATTCTTTGTTTTAGTTGCTCATATTAATTACAAAAAGAGTGCATTAACAATGTGCCTTGAGATTGATTTGTACCGTTCTAATTTTTTGTTCTTAATATTTAAAAATATATATATTGTAGTCTTGTTGACGAGATTAACACTATTGATTTGGCGAAGTACTGATCACATTTTGCTAAGGATTTTTATGAATGAATGAATGAATAATTGAATAATTAAGTATTCTAATTGGAAATGCACTTTATCACCAAGCAACAAGTCAATGTACAACGCTTCAGTCTACTTATAACGGGATGATTTGATATTTTTACGTTTAGTGCAGCTGTATATCTTTAGATTTGATTGATTTCTGAAGCTCTGTTTCTCCGCAGGTACCAGGAGAGCTGTGTGGTGGACAACATCAAGGTGTGCAGCAATGACACCGGCACTGGCCGCTTCAAGCGCATTTGCATCACAACCCGCATTCCCAGAAACCCCACCATCGGAGACAAGTTCGCCAGCAGACACGGTCAGAAGGGAATCCTGAGCCGCCTGTGGCCTGCGGAGGACATGCCCTTCACCGAGAGCGGCATGTGCCCAGACATTCTGTTCAACCCGCACGGCTTCCCCTCCAGAATGACCATCGGGATGCTCATCGAGAGCATGGCTGGAAAATCCGCGGCCCTCCACGGCCTGTGTCACGACGCCACGCCGTTCAAGTTCTCCGAGGAGAGCTCTGCGCTCGAGCACTTTGGCGAAATGCTGAAAGCCGCGGGATACAACTACTACGGCACGGAGCGCCTCTACTCCGGCATAAGCGGCTTGGAGCTCGAGGCGGACATCTTCATCGGGGTGGTTTACTACCAGCGCTTGCGTCACATGGTCTCCGACAAGTTCCAGGTCAGAACTACGGGAGCGAGAGATAAAGTGACCAATCAGCCGCTGGGAGGGAGGAACGTTCAGGGAGGAATCCGTTTCGGAGAGATGGAACGGGATGCTCTGCTGGCTCACGGGACGTCGTTCCTGCTCCACGACCGGCTGTTTAATTGCTCAGACCGTTCTGTGGCACAGGTTTGCATGGACTGCGGTAGCCTGCTGTCGCCGCTTCTGGAAAAGCCGCCTCCTTATTGGTCAAATACACGCCATCGGAAAACCATCTGCTTGCTGTGCAACAAGAGCGACTCTATTGAGACTGTGTCCGTTCCTTATGTGTTTAGATACTTCGTAGCAGAGCTTGCGGCAATGAACATCAAAATCAAATTAGATGTCAAGTAAAATTCTTTGTATCTTTCTTTGCATAGATGGAAAACAAAGTGCCTGAGCATATCATCTTATTCACTTGAGTGTTTATATCTCATTCGTATCTCATTTGAATGGACTGGTGAGGTGAGCAGTGCCACCGTTTTCTATCAATAGCAGGATTAATGTGGATGGTTTAAACTTGTGAAGAACATGTATAGGAGTTGGAGTCATAAAACAGTTTGTTTGCTTACTCATAATTACGAAAAATACTATTTAGTGAATGGTGAATTTCCATTTCATGCCGACTTTTTTGTTTGTTTGTTTACACAAACATCAATAAACATGGTAGTTATGTGTTATTTGAGCATCACGTCAAACTGGGGCCTGTACCATGAAACCAGATTAAGCTGGCTAGCCAGGTAAGTTTCAGTTTAGTTTGCACCAATCCTGGGTTTTAGGTACCATGAAAGTGGCTTGGCTTTTAGCGGCATTCATTGCCATAGTAACTTACACTGCACAGCTAACCTGCTCCGGGGCAGGTTATATTCTGAGTTAAGAGATCTCAAACTGAAATTGGACCAATCAGATGTGAGCAAAGGGACACATGTCTGATGCTAAAAAAGGCACTCCCCCAGTTTCTCTTCCTACAAATTAAAGGTCACTATAAATTACCTTAAAAAAAAAGACAAAATTGTCTTGCTTTAATAATTATGATTTATATACTTACAATATGATTTATATTACTATTAATCCATTACACACAAGCAATTTTAGTTTAACAATTAATATAAAGCATTTATTTTATATTAAAATATACAGCTCATGTGTAATATATGTAAGTGGTAGAATCAACAGATAACACTTTAAAATCGCTATTTATATAACATCACAAGTTTCACTTGTGATTGCATTAATAGAATGAGATAATTTATTTTATTTGTCCTCTTTCATGGACAAGTACTTCGGTGTAAATGCATTTATATTCCTCATATTCTTTGATCTCTTAACCTTTAAGAAAAGAGTTTTGAATCTCACTGGCTCTTTCACGAGAAGTGAATCACACTTGCTCGGTGTTGCAAGGCATGTGATTGGCTGTTTGCCACTGATGTCACACATTCATGTGCACGCGCTCCACAAACTCAGGATCAAAGCCTGAGTTGACAAAGAAAGTTGATCAGCATCATGGTACCAACAAAGCCGGATTGGAGTGGTTTGGTTTTGTCAACTCAAAACTAATCCTGTAACTCTGAATTTGTTCATCTACCATCATGGTACAGGCCCCAGGTGAGTGACTTCTGAACAAAGATAAACTCGTTATTTGTCAGTAATCAAGAGGTTTGAGAATTTGTACAAATTTACAAAAAAAAAAAAAAAAAAACAGGATGAATAAAATACATCTTAAGTTTAGTTTTATTTCTTTTTTAGATTATCCTTTTAAAGTATCAAAGAAATTCAATAAAGATTTTGTAAGCTTATAGATCCTTCTTTTTGTGGTTAGCAATCATGAAAATACCCAAAGACATGCATCACCCATGATTAATTCATTCCACAATTTAATTGATTTTTGAAGTACTGGCAAATACATTTCTGGGAACATTTCGCTTTAACAATTCCAACAATTTGGTACTTTTAACATCTTAATAATGCAATTATAATCTGAACATAAGAGACATACAATAGAGTTTAATGTTGCTAGAACAGAGCTGGATAACTAATGCCAAATGTCCTGTTCAATAAAACTGTATTAAAAATGCATTTACATAATCACCGTTACTTAATGTAGTGTGGTTTTGTCTACTGATCAAATTACAGATTCATTTTGGAGTTAATATTATTGCCATAGAAAGAATAATTGGTATGAAATGAACCACTCCCAAGTCGAACATTCATATTGTCATTCAGTGTCACTTGGCTGGTCATGTGGCCACTGTAAGAGAGAACCGCCCTTATTTTTTTTAGATTAAAAGTTTTTTTCTAAGCCGCTAATATAAACCATCACATTTTTCTTAAAAAAAAAAAATCTGTATGTTTATGTAAACATCAACTCAGTTCAAGCAGAACATCGTTCAGTTTCAGTACACTAGGAACAGTGTAGTCTGGAGTCACAGAGCCCTGCGGGAGAGATTTACAGTCACTGTTTATCCACACAGTGGCCCGCACTCTTGCATTAATGCCTCCCTGGATGTCTGTGCCGAGAGAATCTCCCACCATGATGCAGTCCTGCGGCTGGACTCCCGCAGACTCGAAGCAGTGAGTGAAGATGGAGCGCGCCGGTTTCTGCTCAGGATGATCTCCTCCGACCACCACCAAACTAAAGAGACCCTCACATCTCACCGCTTCGATCTTCTCCCACTGCGTCTGAGTATCGCCGTTGGTGAGCAGAAGCAGTTTGTAGTTCTTCTGCAGTTCCTCCAGGAGAGATCGAACCTCAGGAGAAAGAGTCAGCACCTGTAATCGTGTGTTCTTCCATGTGTAGTAGCAGCTGTTGGCAAGAGCCGGATCAGGATCGGTGCCCTGCGTCTCCTGTAGGGCTTCATGCCAGTGATGGATCCTCACATCATCTATTGTTTTTCCTTCTGATGGGTCGAACGTTTCGTGGAGAAGCTTTCGTAAAAAGCGATGACAGATGTCTTTGACGTGGCTTTCCTGTACACGCGTCGACTTCAGCAAATCACACACCTAAAGAAAGAACAGTGTAAATCATGAGATCTACATCTTTAATAAACAAAAATAGTTCAGGTTGGATTCAACACAACAAAGTTTTAAGTGTTGACTAAGTGTCCAAATATTTTTGGAGAACAATATCATAGTATTACCTAGAGCCCGACCGATATGGATTGTTTGGGGGCCGATACCGATACCGATACCGATGTTAGGGAGTAAAAAAAGGCAGATATCGATATATCGGCCGATATTCTTTGTGTATATTATAGTACAATACCAGTCAAAAGTTTGGACACTTTCCCATTCGTGTGTCCAATCATTTGACTTCTACTATATATAGAATACAGTATATACATAAACAGAATATATACATAAACACATTTTTTGCAATGATCACTCAAATGTGGTGATCAAACACTTATAATGATGTGACAAAGATATGTAAAGGAGGCAGGGCATTTAACAATTGAACAATAAACTTTATTACCAAAATGAGTCTGATATCAGTGCATGAACAGTAAAGTAAAGTTTGCCAGTAGCAAACAATGGAGCGCGCTCTGCTGGACAAACTAAGTAATTACACCATTTCAAGCATTTTATCTGCGTTATATGTTGTAAAAAAAAAATCTTATCAGGCATGTGTCCAAAAATCATGGTAATACCATGATACTTTTATATACACTTGAAAGTTTGTAAAAGTACCACGGCATGTGTACAAAAAACATGGTAATAGCACGGTACTTTGATATTTCAGAGATAATACCATGGCATTACCATTATGTGTCGAAAAACCATAGTAAAATGAAGGTACTTTGATGCATTCTTTACGTCCAATAATATCATGGCATGTGTCCAAAAACCATGGTAATACTATGGTACTTTCAGTGTACTTCCATATATGCTTCAAAGTTTGTCAAATAACGTAATACCATACGTGCCGCTAAAACTAAGGTAACGTTAATACCACGGTAATGTCCACAGTTCTTTGAAATGTTCGTTTAAGCATTTTTCTTATTCTTTCGGTTACCTTCTCAATGGCAATTCGTCCTGCGCCGGCTGTATCGACCAGCGTGTTATCCAAGTCAAATATAATCGATGAAACTCCTCGACTTTCCATCATATTCCACATCCACGTACGATATTAACAACACATCCGAACACGCGGAACTCCGGCTACTGACGTCAGGCAGGTGTTGTGACGCAACGTCACATTGCATTCTGGGAGATGTAGTTCCCGAGGTAAAAAAACACGGGGATTTATGACAGGTCTGGGTCTGTAGTGTACATGACATGTAGTTTTTACATGCTAAGATTGTTAGATCAGTCTAAAACTTTCTATATCTTCATTTTTTGTCAAGTAACTAAAATGATCAAATAAAATATTTCACTGAAAAAAAAATCTTATTCTTATTAGCCCTGCAATAGTAGGCTAGCAGGCCTTGTGGTATCTATCTATCTATCTATCTATCTATCTATCTATCTATCTATCTATCTATCTATCTATCTATCTATCTATCTATCTATCTACCTACCCACCCACCCATCCATCCATCCATCCATCCATCCACCTACCTACCCATCCATCCACCTACCTACCTACCCATCCATCCATCCATCCACCTACCTACCTACCCATCCATCCATCCACCTACCCACCTACCTACCCATCCATCCATCCATC